CTCTCAATTTGTCATCAACCATTTCATCGCATCTCAATATAATACTAGATGCAGGCATGCAATTCAATCTTCACTTACACACACACACATACACACACACATACACACACTCACACAAACGTACACACGTATATATACATCCAATAATAATATAAAACTCATAAGCGGTTCACTAATTAAATATAGAAATACACAAAAAACACACGCAGGGTAAATAGGTCTAACCAGCATACTTAACACAACACGTGACAACAACAACAACAACAAAACGATCTCAACAGCTATAACAACAACAACAACAGCAATAATTACAACAACAACAGCACATTTTGCAAGGTCAAAGGTTAGGTCTCATCCTCAATAATCTATTAACAACTGAATGAAGAAATTGTTGGCGAATGTTTCTATTTCAATGGTTGCTATGTAGTAAATACAACTCTCTCTCTCTTTCTCTCTCTTTCTTTCTCTCTTTCTCTCTCTTCCTCTCTTTCTCTTTTGTACCATCTCTCTATTTTCATCATCCGTAACAACGAACAACGCAGTAAATGTACGAGTACTAGGCAGGGATATCTTGGCATTCAAGCCCAGTCACTGCAACAGCAATGCCAGGCATCTTAACCATTACACTACCGTGCCGCCCATATCATTCGAAAAAATTTCAACGAATCAAACTGATGGTAAAAAAATTTGATTGAGATATTTCTTTGAAGTTGGATGGATGTATGTTATGTGAGGCCGATGGGAGAATTTCGCGTGCCTTTGAAAGAAAGGTAATTTCCTTGATCCATCCGGACCAACAATGATGTGACCTCGTCATAATAATGATCGTATAATTGTATTATTTAGAATTTAAACGTTAATAATGATTAAAAATATATAATTATATAATGTAAATAAGTTAAAATGGAATATTTTAGTGAAATAAATTCCAATCTTATTATTATTAGTAGTAGTATCTTTTCCTCTTAATTCTTCAGTATACTTATCAACACACACCACACACACACATATACACACACACACACATACACACACAAGGCATGTGATATATGAATACGTGTAAACAAAACATCATTTAAAATAAAGGTGATAATCAGAAATCACTATGCTATTGAACCCGGTGACAGTAACAACAGAACCAGGCACCTTAGCCATTACACCATCTCGCCACCCATGGGATAAATATAGCAGTAAAAATAAATCTCAATAATAATAATTATTATTATTATTATTATAATAATAATAACAAAAAATCCAAAACACCGAAGCGCAAAAATGATGCTGGACAAAAAAGGACGTCTGTAATCCGTTAAATGATGAGGTCGATTAACATTTGTCGTGTCGTCACACTCACACACATACACGCACACATACACACACAAACACACACACAAAACACACACACACACGCACATTGTGTACATCTCCACTACGCTAAAATGTATGCTGCTATTATTCAATACAATTAATATTGCATTTATTCTCATTAATATTATTACCTAGTATTACTACATATTAATTCTTTTTCAATAATTTTTCATTAGAGGTGTCAACACCAGACATAAGCTTCATACAAATTAAACTTATCTGGTGAGTCTCCTTTTGCATTCGAATGCAGTAGCTACAAGATTAACCCTACTAACCCTAACCCTAACCATTACACCATAACGCCTCAACACCCAGTAGCCCAAGGAAGGTCTTTGATGTAGAAAAATTAGAGGTGGTTAATTATATTGGATGTGATAAGGTGTGTGTGTGTGCGTGTGTGTGAAAGAGAGAATGTGTATGTGTGTGTGTGTGTGTGTGTGTGTGTGTTTGCATGAAACGTTGTTTGGAAGTTTCATCAAATGCATTTCGTTTAGACATGCGTGAGTGTACGATTCATACCTGCATACATCACATTTCTCTCTCTCTCTCCCTCTCTCTCTTTCTCTATCTCTCACACACACATAAACACACACACACGAATTAATCATATAAAGATATATAAAATTACAGACGCACTATTCCTTAACTATATAAATATACCGTCCGGGGTTCTTGACTATGCCCAAAAATTGTCTCGCGAGTACCATTACCGGCTTAAAAATGTAGTGCAGACACCAAAACCAATTCTCATTTTTGAAAGGGCTTCTTGAAAATGGAACTCTGGAATGAGTGATGTTAGTTACATGTATGTGAGTGATGTAACACACTTCGTTGATTAACTAGTTATTCTCAGGTTCTGCTATTCTCTATGTTATTGGATCACGCACAGAAAGGCTGTTTAAAGCCCCATCGAGTATACAGAAGGAATTAAACTTTTGAAGAAGAATCGATATATATTCTTCAATGTAGTTTTTATCTAGAGGGTTTCCTGATATTAAGATAATTTTATTAATATGTTTTTTTAAAAACAGATGGGTGTTGTTGTCGGTTGGTCTCGGTTGGTCAAAAGGTTTTGATGCAGATTGGTTGAAAGATTTTAGAGTAATTGAGAGTAGCATACTTAGAAATGTGAAAGAGATGTATCTTTTGGCCGGGCATCGTTTGGGGGAACGTCACATCCCAGGTGAGCCAAAATTATTTGATAAATAAATTCTCAACATACATGATTTATTGATAGACATAATAAGTTTTTTCTTAGACATTCGAACAGAGCAGAGCCGGGCAAGCATACGCAAACACAAATGCATTACTTGTAGTCTCGATTCAATATATTTTCATCAAGCGTTTACTACACTGTCCAAAGAAAAGCATAACTTATGCAAATTAAGACTGACGCTATGAAAAAAATTGTTGGTGTCAGTAACCAAAATGTATGGAGATTGAAAAAGCATGCGAGTACCTTGTCCAACGAACATTGCTGTACGTATGCAAGATATGTATAACTTTTTATGTGTGTACAACAGTATATTTTTGTATGTATGTATGTTTGTTTGTTTGTTTGGTTTCCTGTTTGTTTGTTTGTTTGTCTGGTTTTATCAACGTGTTATTGATGAAAGTCAGTGAAGCACAACTTCAAAAAATGAATGAATGAATGTTAGAAAAATGAGTGGATGAGTAAAACTGCTCGAAAGGGCCTCAGCAGATAAACATGTGCCTGAATAAATGAATGAATGAATGAATGAATGGGATAATTTGTGATTTAATGAAAAGAGTTGTTTTGGTCAGACATGCCACGTATAATTATTCTACCATCGTAAATTGTAACATCTGACGGCGGTGCAAATAAAATTATTTTCTCAAATTTGTTACTCACTTTCATCAAATTTATTCGCAGATTATGGTGTTAATTCTACTAAGATATAAACATCTTATTTTACTAATTAGTTTGCAATGAATCTGTATCAATGCGATAATTTTTATTTTCAACATTTTTTATTATTTTTAAATTAATTGTTTTTCAAAATAACCTCAAAAATTTTGCAATCTATCTTCTATGCACTCTCACGTACAGCAGCCACAACAACATCCATCAAACAACGCTTCATCACTACACAAACTGCAGTTAATTGATATCCAAGGAAATATTTTTTGTGAAAATATCCATCCATCCATCCATCCTTCCATTCATCCATCCGTCTGACTGACCGTCTGACTGACCAATCGCATTATATGTGAGTGATTTAAAAACTACAGAAGTTTTAAAACTTACATTCACATCTCAAGCCAAATAATGTAAGATAAATCATGCTGAACGTTTTGAAAAACAAAACGCGCCTTCCAGACGGCCATTATTTAAAATGGCGGGTGAAAGATTTCCCGCCTAATTATTAAAATAACCGACGTGAAAGTGATTTGTTGTTGTGGCTGCTGTTGATGTTTTGTTATCATTGTTGTTTTTGGTGTTTTTATTTATTTTGTTTTATTTTTCTTTGGTTGTTAGTTTTTTTTATTTTTTAGTTTTTGTTAATGGTTTTATCGTCGTAGCCAAATTTGATTTTGTTGTTTAAGTTTTTATCTCTGTTAATTTTTCAATTGTTATTAGGTTGTTGTTGTCGTTGCTGCTGTTGTTGTTATTGTTACGAAATTTTTTCGGAAAATTTTTCAATAAACAGTGTATAACTTATAAAATTATTATTCTTACTATTTTATTATTATTATTATATATTATTATAATTACTATTATTATTATTAACATATTATTATTTTACTAATCTCCCGACAATTAATCACACAATCGTTGCATCTTCTTGTTCAATTGAGGGGGGATAATTTTTTCACATAAACGTTACTAAATTATCTCTGTAGCAATGATAAATTAGCAATGTGTGTGTAGCATTTCATATCGGTCATATCCGATCTTTATAGAAGTAATCATTTATTGCAATGAATTACGCAGAAATCGATCATAAACACGCTCACATAAAACACACACACAGACACACATACATACACACTTAAGACACACTCACATACCCACATATATACACACATAATACACACAAGACACACACGCACATACACACACACGCACATACACACGCACACATACACACGCACACACACATACATGTTTGATGCGAACTCAAAACAAATGAATTTTTTTATAAAAATATAATGAACGAATGAAATAATCGTCCAACCAACCGTCGTCTGAAGACCTCAGAAATCGTGTTTCCGTGCCAGGCGATAATCCCGTGACGTCATTGTGAAAATGAATCACCCACATCATCGTCATCATTGTAATTGACATAGTCATGGTTCTTGTCACAGTCATCATCGTCATCTTGGTCATTGTTAATGTCTTGGTCATCATCGTCGTCGTCATCATCATCATCATCGTCATCATCATCATCATCATCGTCGTTGATGTTGTCATCTTCATCATGGCGAGCATTGTTGAAGACTCGTCGCCATGAAGAGGCTGTTTTGTATGCTGATAATAATGATGATGATGTCAATAGTGATGATGTTGTTATCGCTAGTGATGATGATGATGTCGCTACTGATGATGATGATGATGATGTTGTCGCTTGCGATAATGATCCTTATTAGGGTGATGTTGTAGCATGTGATAATATAAATGATAATGATGATGATGAAGGGGATAGGTCTGATGATGTTGTTCTGACTGAATGATGCGAAGTTCACTCTTTCACCTTGTTATTGTTAATAATATTTAAATGTTGTTGTTGATGTTGTTGTTGATGTTGACGTTGTTGTTGATGTTGACGTTGTTGTTGATGTTGTTGTTGATGTTGTTGCTGTTTGAAGTTTTTTTTAACATATTTAACAAAAGTAAAAAACCTTCGCCATACAAATGTTCATTCTTCTCATTATCATTTTTATTTCAATTTTATAAATTTTCTTCCTTATATCAATTTTATTAAAATTCAAAAACAGAATAAAAATTGTATTGGATCAGATTGACTGGCTAGCAATGAAATGAATTGTACTGAAAATAAAATATTAGCTGGGCGTTCATGAATTCTGCCAAAGATAACGATGATGATGACGATGATGATGATGACGAGGACGATGATGATGATGATGATGATGATGATGATGAGATGATGACGATGATGAGGACGAAAATGACGTTTTCGTGACGCTTTTGCATGTGTGATAAAACTTCCATTGTGTTTGTATATGTGCACGGACGTATTCCATAATGGTAATAATAATAAATCAATCAATAATATATTGAAAATGTTTTCAAAACTTACTTGCATCGGTTGACAAATGAGAATGTGTGTTACTCTATTCACGTAGAGTTTCGCTGTGATCGGGTTCGAGTACAAGAGGAATCTCGTACTAACCTGAGCCGATAATTATTTTAATAATTACACCTACGTCAGGCGAAATTAATGATACAGTATCATGTTGATAATATCCTTGTATTTTAAAAAACACCTTGATACAACATCATGTTGATGGTACCATGTATATATGAACAAAACTGTAACGGCTACACAGCATTCAAAGAAATAGTTGCAAAGTTTTAAAAAGTGGAAGACAATTCTAACGACAACAAAATTTAACAGAAATATTGAACATAGAAGACATAAAAACAAACTTTTCAAACAAACATACAAACATACAAACAAACAAACATACATACAAAAAAGACAGACAGCCAGACACTCAGACAGACAACAAACCAGGATACACACAAACATATTTCACATTTAAAAACAGGTAAAAACATATATGCACTTGCACATATAGGCACTCATTTAAACATGCACAAACACATTTTGAGAAACACATAAACACACAAACACACACACAAACACTAGCGTCCACACAGATGCATCATTCTCCAACATTTATTTATCCTCACGTGCATACAGCATCCAACTCAGTGATGTATAACACAATGTATTATACATTTGTGCACATAAGTACGTCTCCCAAATGTATATTTATATGTTCGCATGTGAGTGTACGTGTGTTTGTATGTGTGTGAGTGTTTTAATGTTTGTGTATGTGTATCTGTACATGTTTGTGTGTGGATGTTTATATATGTTCGTGTGTATGTGTGGAGTGTGTGTGTATGTGTGTGTTTTAATGTTTGTGTAGGTGTATATGTTTGTGTGTGTTTGCGTGTGGATGTTTATATATGTACGTGTGCATGTGTATGTGTGAGTGTCTGTGACGGAGGTGGGAAGTAAGTTTGACGGTGATGATAGGTGAAAAACTGAAAATAATTGGCGATATTTTTCTATTAAAGTGCAAAAAAATTGGTGGTTTCATATTCGTTGTATCAATATTCACAACTGAGTCTTGATAAGTAGTAAAACCTTATAAAATTAATGTATAAAGTTAATAAAGCGATTTAAATTTAATGTTTTGGTGTATAAAAGTTATTAAACAATATTAATTAATTAAATAGTTAACTAATTAATAAATAAACAAGTTGCCACAAAATGATAGTTTACCGTTTGCCGACTGGGGCCTTTTGTAAATCTACCAAAAAACTAAAATAATAATTCTCTCTCAAAACTTCAATTAAACATTTCAAATAAACTATAAATGAATGGTTAAACATTCATAAAACACTAACGCTATAGTGTACTATGCTACGTTTCTCATACGTGTTTATTATTTATTGTTTATTATTATTATTATTATTATTATTATTATTATTATTATTATTATATATATATATATATATATATTAGATTATATTATATTATACATTAGATTAATA